CAAACACTGAATTCAATGCTAACCATCATCATGGTTTTTTATTCTTATTAAAAATATCTACCAATACCTACTTTAATATACAGTATATTCCCAACCCACAGGAGGTTTCCATCATGAACAGGTTTGTCAAACTGCAAAAAAGTCTTCTGATTCAAATAGTGTCAAAATAAATGGTAAGTATTTGTAAAATTATTATGAAATGGTGACTATTTTTATCTTTTTATGTAAAAAGATGTTTGTCCTTTGGAAAGACCCTGAACCCCTAAGTTGCTCCCGATGGTTAGAGCCATCGGTTGAGTTGGTGCCGCAGATGGCTCCCCCGGTTCTGTACCAGAAACAAATTCTTTGTGTGTAACATACTTGGCCAATGAAGGTGATTATCCTGATTATCCTAAAAAATGGAAAATATTTTTTTAAAAATGAGAATATAGTAATTTACAGCTACACGATTTATGCATGATGCTGCCATTATTGCCATTTCCATGTATATTGGAAATAGAGGGGAAATCTGTAAAATAAACAGGAACATTCTGTAAAATGCTGTCTTTTTTTTACAGTGTAACTTCCTTCAGTAGCATTAGTCAGTGTTATCTTTCCTGTACACAATGGATGAAATCTATAACAGTACAAATACTACTGAGACACTACAAAGAAGCAGGACCACAAACCCAAACAGTCAGAACATATAAACATTATGATTTAGTGTCTCACCCTCTGCCATTACTACTGATGTGTGTCAGCTAGCGTAGCGGTTCGATAGCCACTAGCATCTGGTACAAGTGCAATCTGAGGCCGCTCATCCATTTAAAACCTATTACACAGACACACAGACACCCTGTGTTTTCATTCTTTGTGGGGACTTACATTCATCTCCCATAGACTTATCCTAACCACTACTTGCCTAACCCTAACTTCACCCTAACCTTAAACCATGTTGCCACCCTACAATTCAGTGATTTCCTTGTATTTCCCACTTGTTTTTCCCATTATGGGGACCGGAACCTGTTAACACACCAGCCTCTGGTCCCCACAAGGATGGCCCAGTCCCCACAACGCAAGTGTGTTAACAGGTTTCAGTCCCCATAATGTAAGTGATACAAAGGCACACACACACACAAAATACATTACAAAGCTCATTAAGAATATATTAGAGGTGCCATTATAAATTCACAACATATTAGAGAAGTCATTAGGAAATGTGGGTCAACACACACACAATGAGGTTATTAATGTCAGTGTTGAATGAAAGCGACAGTCTAGAATGACTACAGCGAGGTCTGTGTGTGCGATGGATGGACTCAGCTGTGTGTGAAGCCCGTACACTCGCTCTGCAACAGTAACACTTACTTTTCTCTTTTGCTTGAAATTAAATCTCTCTCAAGCCTCAGTGTGTCTGATCCTTTTACATTAGTACTGGGCAAACCATGTTGTTTTGTGTGATTGTTTATGTATAATTTGACGTACAATCAACTAATTTGACCGTTTTAACATATTAAAATGTGCCGTCTTCACAAAGTCTTGGCAAATTTTACACTGAATGCTACAGGTCTCCTGATTTCACTGATTCTTCTGAACAGAAGGCTCATTGTAGCTCTGTCATCAACAGCTCTGAGCCTGAGCTCATTCAGACTTGTGGCTCCAAAGTGTTTTCCACATGTAGGATTAAACTATAGGCCCTATATTCTCTTCATTATGCCAAAAATAAATAAAAGATAGGTGAGGCAAAAAAAATACTGTTAAATTTAAAGCATTACTGGACAGACATATGATTTGAAGTCAGTTTATGTCTTCTTGCAGGTGTTTTATGCCTGTTTTTAGTCATTTTGTGTTTATTTTTATTCATTTTCCATCTTCAAACGGATTGAAGAGCAGTGACTTTTTTGTCTTGGGTGCTTTATTTTCTAGCTTGTGCACAAATCTAGGGGGTTGGCGGTAAAAGGATTTGACCAGTGGAGGTCTGAGTAGAAGAAAACTGGAAAATGCAACCAGCTCTCGTCAATAATTTGTAATTGCCCTTTAAGAATGCATTTGTTTGCATGAGTGGTTGCTGTGGGAGAGGAAAACAATAAAGAACTCTGTTTTTGGCACAGCACTAGTTTATATTATAGGATAAATTATGTTACTACAGTATGTCACTGTTTGTATTTAACTTGTGTTTTGCACCAATAAATCAAAGATAATAAGCCAACTGGATCTTTATTGGTCCAGTTCATAAACTTGTATTAGTCTGTTCACTTCAGCCCCAGCAGCAGTCTAATGAATTCCCTCAGTGAACGGCGGCAGCTGTGCACTTTATGTACACTAATCTCTGGCACAAGGTGTGTGGTGAAACTGCCTCCTCGCATGCAACAAAAACCTCTGCCCACACACAGCCTCCAGGAGGACATGCAACTTAAAGCAACAGACACAATTTCCAACATGAGAAGACACTTTCAGATGAGAAATTTCTCGTTTTGATGCAGCGTCACATGGTTTTTAGCCGCCTTTGGTTTTCAGTGTGTTTTCCCTTTATGACTGTGGTGATGGTACCAAGATCAAAACTCCACAAAATTCCCAAAAGTAGTTCTTACTCGCAGTAATTTTAAACCATGACTTCATCATAAACATTTATCTCCACATTGATATGGCCTGCTGCAGCTCCCAGTGTTACAGAAGTTACTTGTCAAAAGTAATACACTGCAGTCTATGGACTGGACATACAGTGAGGCGCCAAGTTTGCATCCCTGCTGCTTTGCTGTTAGGCTAATGATCGAGCTGTAAGTTGCCCGTCCATACTTCCACTTGGTACGAAGGTGGCTGGGGAGCTTTCTGAACGCATCCTGCACCACAGCTACAAGCTGCCTTAGCTCCTTCACACACTCTGCTTTTACTGAAGATGGATGTTGCAGCTCCAGCTTGTAGCACGCGGAAGTTAGCATCCCTTCTCTAAATCTTTCTTCAAACTGGATGTGATGGTTTTCGCTGTAGAAAACACTTTGCAGCCTTTTCAGAAGTTAGCTACATTTTACTGTAACGTTTTTGTCATTTTCAGTGACAAGCTAAAAATACAGTATTTATACAATAGGTGTGCCGTCATTTTCCCAAAAGTGAGTGCTAAGAAAATAAAGCATAAAGTCTGTATATGTTGACATATGAAATGGTTGAGGACATTCAGTTTGTCCAGATCACCTTCAGATTTGACTTGTAAAAAACTCACAATATTGTTTCTGAATGTAGTAACACACTACTACACAAAGTAATAAACCCTTGAGGCTAGTAGCCTACTGTAACCCCCAGCACTACTGCTTAGCCTACTTTTCAGGTTCAGAATAATAATACAAAATGTAATCAATAAAAGAGGTGACATATTATTGTAGGTTAAGATACGATGAGGATTTTTAATCCTGGGGAAATTCAAACTCAAACAAAGTATAATAAAAATTAGCTAACCCTTTAACTGCAACATATGAATCGGGCTATAATATGATAAGTACTGTTGTGAAAATGGGCCTTCCACATTTTTACATTTGATACTTTAGTGAAACTATTTCTGTGCTTTTAATTTAAGCGAATGCAGGACTTTTACTGTGGTGGTGCTATTTTATTCAAGTAAAAGATCTGAGTGGAGTGAGATCTGAGAGTATTTTAAAATGCTACAGTGATGAGCACATGCAGTATTTTGATGCTCACCTAGGCTCCTCCCTCATTTGATGCTGAGGTTTTTCCTTTTTGTGCTGCTGTAGAGTTTGAGACCAAAATCCGTGTGCTTCGAGATTAGATTTGAAAAAATGTGCTTTTAATTTCCTAAGTTTAAATTATTTAGAAAATGGAATTACAAGAGCAGGCACACAGGAGACGGTAGGTACTGTAGTAGTCAACCATGAACTCAGGTGTGAGAAATTCATCTTTGTCACCCGTACAACTTGTGTTTTTTTCTGATTTTCTCAGTTTGCAAATGTGCAGGCTGTCGCCACCTGAAACCATATCTTATGCCTTTGTTGTAGCTGTGTTCACTACATCCATTAATGAACCAACAGTGGCTGAACTGTGGTGCACTCAGTTCACCTGAATGTTGACACAGCAGTGGGACTGAGCTGCTGTACTGAGACGCTGTGTCAGATCACTGCTTTATAGTTGTGTGACAACAGAAAGTGTGTGATCAACTACTGAAACCCTATCTTGATTCTTGAACTCAACCTTATTGATCATTTCTAACTGGTCATCAGCCTTACCAGTTCATTCACACCATGGAATGAAGATGTGGACATCAGCCTTACCAGTTCATTCACACCAGTATGCGCTGTGGAGATCATGTGTAAACTGTTCTGCCGCTGTGGTGTTTCCTGACTGTTCTCTGGTCTGCACTGCCATCCAGTGGCTGCTGCTGTGTATCCTGTCATATGGCCGCAAGCAGCAGACACTGCTGTAATAGTGTCAGTGTCCACCAAACCCTTCTGGGGAGACACACACATCATCCGTGTTTGCAGGAGCTGGGAAGAAAAAATCTGTCCAAAAGAATGGAGAAAGTCCCTGCACACAACTGTCTTGTTCCCAGTTTCCAGGGCTTCCCAGACTGGGATTTAGTGCCCTCTATGTCTGTTGCCATGCCGGTACATAATTGTTGATGAGTTATGGGAACTCTATTGCTGTTGAAGTGCTTTCAATTAGCATGAATATATTAATTAAGCACGGCATTCTAAGATGATATATTGTGATATTAACCCCTTACCAGCCTTTCTAATGCCTCTCTTAACCCCTCACAACCATTTCAGCAAATTGCAATCTCTGTAATTGCAATCTCGTTCAGCCTCCTCTCTCAACACTTCTCTTTCACTGCCTCAGACTGTGCTGTCATTTTATTAAGAGCAAATATGCTTCCCATCATCCCACTATACCTCCCCCATTAGTTCTTTAAAATCCCCACCTTCCCTTTCAGCCTCTGTCAACCCTTAACTTCATGTAACCGCAGATCAAATTCAGACAAAGGTGAGGAAATGACAGAAAACACAAGGATGTGTGGGTTTATTCTGGAATATAAATGCAGATTTCACAATAAAACATTTTCTATCCCACTATTTGTCCCTTCTTTTGGGAGATCTTAAACTTCAGTTACGCTGAGTTGTTGGTTTTGGTCATTTACTGGCTTTATCCTCAGTGAAGCTCCACAGTCATGCTACATTCATTATTGTGTTGACAGGTTTCTTTATGCTCAAATTTTGTGTTCAGTGCTGCAGGTTTTGCCAGGGTTTCCGCTGCCCCAATGTCACCTGCTCTCTACAGTGGAAAAAAAAACAAACTTTTACTAATTCTGAAAAGCCAGGCCAGGATTTGCCATTTAAACACATGGCAGTGTCTTGAATTTTAAGACAGAAGTCTACTGTCTGATTTTAAGTGCATTTACAAGGATGTACACAAAGTCTAGAAACCATGAAACATCATTATCATACAGTTATTTTTTTTGTTTTGTTTTGGTTAGTGACCTCTGACCTGATCATTCTAACCTGAGGAAGTTCTGAAATTTTCTTGCAAACTTTATGTTGATAAATCCTTCAGAAATATGTCTCTACAGTCGCTACAACACTGAGCTACTAGCAGCACCAATTTTGTTAACATCACTGTTTCCTGGTTTGATCAGGCCATAAGAATTTTCCAAACAATTATACTGTCGCTTTTAAAAGGACTGTGATAACTGATGCTGTGACATCCTCAGGTTAATATATCAGCAGCCATGGGAAAAAGCTGAGCTTAGAAAGGACATTGTTTCTACAATATCTTTGTTACATAAGACTGCTAAAATACTGCAGATCATCAAATAAGTGAAGAGATACATACTGTAAATCACAAAAAGATAAAATAAGCATTTAGCAATATTTTCTACAATAGGAAGGTGGAAGAAAAAATTTCCACAAGGCAGAGTTTTTCTCCCAAACAAAATCTTCCTGCAGGATGCCACATCACCCCTCTGTCTCCTGCTTTCCCTGCTGCGCAACTATAAGGCAGAAATGTCAACAAAAGTAAAGAAGAACCCTGAAACCTCCTGCTACAGTGCAGAGGTTGTAGGTCAGGGCCAGAGGTGGAGCGTTGCCTTCAGTAGCCCTTCATAGCCATGGACCCTGCGCCCTCGCTGTCATGATGTTTGACCTGATGGATCATCAGGAGGGAGACCAGCAGGCCCAGCAGCTAGACAGACAGACAGGTGGTCAGTCGGGCAGAGAAACAGACAGGAGAAAGTAGATCAGTCCGTCAGACGCACGCTGAATTCACACCAGAAGTGAAGCGACCATCTGTCTAATCCACATTACATGCAGCTGCTTCAGATGTTGACTGTTGGCCAGCAGCTGTTATGTAGATGGTTTTATTTGGTTACAGTTGTGAATTTAAAAGCTCAGTGAGCTGTGGGCTCTCTGAGCTCCTGTCAGTAACAGATACAGTAGCGCTAACGAGACAAGCTGTCTTGACCCGAAATACATTTGAGCGGTGCATCTGGGACTGGCCATGATTTCCCCCACTTTCATTTTAAATTCAAACACTTTAATGTTCCATCATTCTAAATATAGAAACAATGAATAGTGTGGATTTTTTTCCTTTTTTGCCAGTTTTATATGAAAAGCTACTAAACCTCGACCTGAGCCTGAAGCTGGTCACAGGGTAACAACCTAAAATGAGCTGGTCACAGGGTAACAACCCAAAATGCATTTTGTTTGAATTTGAGGCCAATATTACATAGTGCAACTTTGCAAACATGAAATCAACTCACCTTTGTCACAGTCATTTGACAGTTTGTCTTTTAAAACCAATAAACAGCCTGCCTCGTCCAGCATTAGCTACTGACAGGTGGACACCAGCAGCTGGCCTAATGTCACTGCTGTTGGTAACCACACAACCTGCTTGTCCTTCACAACTCAGGTATGATAGTGAAGACTGACTTGTCCTGCCACTGAGAACCCAAGCTGCAGCAAATAAAACTAAACAGAGATCAATGCTTTATTGTTCCAGTTAGAGGTAGAACACTGCATCTTGTGTAGGCGCTGAGAACCTGCAGTGGACTGAGCGACACTGCCGTTTGGCAGGTTTCTACGAGATGTACTGTTTAGATGTAATGTTTAGCTTCTGTTCACACAGAACAAACACAGCAAAGAGAGAGACAGAGAGGGCAGAGCTTACTGCAGTGATGGCAAATCCAAAGCAGAGGCCCATGGAGATCTCAAAAACAAAGTTGATCAATGCATAGATGAACTGACCACAAGTCTGCAGAAGAGGAGATGAAGAAAGGGTTAACGTGGAAACATCACCGACTGCTAGGCTGGTTGGTGTTTAATTGGTTGGCTGAAGGACTGATTAAATACCTGTGCATAAATTTGGTATGGGCCTGAAGTTCCCTGCAGGTAAACAAGAGCAGAATGTGATCATCATAATTAGTAAGGAAAGCAGTCCACTGTACAAACAGTACTGTCCATACTAGAACGTTAAGCCTGTTCCAGACATGCACTCCTTCCCATTAATCTGACAGCATCTGAACATGTCGGCTTCACGTCTGAATCCTGGTCACTTTTCCATAAAATGTGCAAAGGCAATCTCACTAGGTCGGACCCGGTAACATTTACTTATCACTTTCAACATGGCACAAGTCTGACCTGCATGGAGGAGCAGCCAGAAGTGAAAAAGAGAGTGCAGATGCATCTTACTGCTACTAATAAACCTTGTAATGTATGAAAATGTCGGGTATTAACACCCGAGCCACCACATCTAAAACTACATTACTGTATGGCAACAGAGATGTTAAGATGTCCCACATCTCAGTGTCTCTCTCTCTCTACATTTTGCATCAAGTCATATGAAAATAGAAGTTACCCACACACTTATTTAACTTTATAGCTTCCTCATATTTAACTATGTAGACGCCCCAACAGCAGCATCTGCAGAGGTTTTAAAGAATGAAGAATTTAACATCCCAAACACTTCGACATGTGTACAACACATGGTCCATAACTTTAAGCACATTTGAAATACACCACCTGGGACCTGCCCTCACTGAATAGCAGGACAATGAACTGATGGTGACTGCTTGTGTACACTGAATGCATGTGCACTTCGGTTTTGGGGAGGGCTAAGGAGGTCTGCACTGCTCTTGGACACTGGCAGACCCCTAGTAGGGATAATACTGTAAAACTGGGAGATGAGATAATAGAATTCACTGGGTAAGGAAAAGCGGAAGAGGATAAATAGTGGTTTTGTTAGGTTTAAACAGTGTGGGAACAGAAGGGGTGTAGCTCAGGTCATGCCCTGCTCCTGAACTCCAGATAGTTACATTATCTCCATGTCATTTTACACAAATATAAGCAGGTACTCAGAATTTCATTTTCCAGAACTGACCGCAGGTTTGGCTTTGCATCCACCTTGGACATAAGAGGTGCACTCACAGGATATGGGGATTTTGTTACCCCAGTCCTTAGCGCTCGCCACTCCACAGCAGTGGTACTGCAAACACATGAGAGAGTGAGTTTCAACAGGTGGAACTAGTCTTCCAAAGGACCCTAGGCTGTTGCAACAGGTGATGATGGGATATCAACAACAGTGAGTCAAAGACAGAACTGGAGCTAATTGAAGAGGTAAGTTATTAAAACAGTTTTAAATTACATTGTGGGTGAGGGTTTAATTTAGCCTTTAATTTTATGATTTTGGTGTTTCAAAGCTGTCGTTAAATATCCTAAATTTAGCTTAAAAGATGTTTGTTTTTACACCATAGTAGTGGTGACAAATAAAAGGAAAGTCCAACATAAAGAGTCTCAGTGAGGTGCTGGGCTCTGTCACCCTGGAGGAGACCGCTCACTTATTCAGGTTTCACCTTTTATTTGTCACCTGTGTGTATTACTGTCACTGTATTGCAATCCGTACAAAATTCAAGGGTAAAAACTGTGATTACATAAAGCTTTTCTGTCTGCTAAACGGAGACACCCTGCTCTAACACCCCCTGGAAAGCACTTATCCCAGACTAGCCCACAGTGTTCAGCCTAGCTAAACAACATTCATAAGACTTAAAAGTATGCAGAGAAATTACAGTTTGCTGTAGTGCTTCAATAAACATCTGTGTCTCCTCATTGTCCATGAAAACCTTTGCAATGTCCTCAGAGGCACTGTCAAAGCCTTGTTTGATCTGCAAAGACACGGTGAGCAATATCAGCACAAAATGAGACAGAGATAATGACAGACAAATGAGAGAACAAGAGACAAAAGTGTTAGCATCATGGTACATTGTGCTGTCCAAACTCATTCCATTGTACCTCAGACACTTGTTTTATGCTATAGCTGACAGATTTAGTGTCTGAGTAATTTTCACACCTATCAAAGGCAAAGCAACATAGTGTGATTTTTAGCTAAATAATAATGGACACCCTAAGGCCACAGACAATTCTGAACATTAAATAAAGCACAAAATAAATCTGACGCATTAGGTAGCATCAAGGAGTTGATTTTAGATAGAACTCCTGATACAAAGACAAGAAGAGGGCAAATCTATGAAAGCATAAAGACAGAAGTGGTAGGTGACAGAGTAACAGATAGAAAAACACCATTAGCATTGAGCTAATGGTGAGAGTAACAGAGTCAAGACGGGGAGAACTTTAGCATAGATAAAAACTAGCATCAAGACAGATAGCTAGAAAGAGAGAGATGACCGTATTTCTTGCGACGACAACAACGATGCCAAAGATCAGCATGATGATCATTCCAATCCCCATGAATCCTGCGAACTGCATATGAGACAATAAGACAACATGGCTTATTCCTTATTTTGTTGCTTAAGTGGCTTGATGGCCTGCTGTTTGATAGGGGCTCCTATACGTACTATTTTGAGGGCCAGGGGCTTCTCGGAGACTCCTGCATAGATTCCCAGAGAGGAGATGCAGAGGACGCCGATGGCAATCACCCAAGCCCAGGCCAGGCTCGGGCCCCCCACCGACGACAGCTGTTCAGCACAACACAAACAATGAGTTACTGCAGAGCTACAAATGGTGGATTATATAACAAGACTTTTCTGCTATTGTCATCAAATCCCAAGAAAGAGCCAAAATGCATGATTCTAGGTGCTTTCTGACTTCCTAGCCCTGTAGCTCCCCAAGTTCCAATCACATGTTGACATGTTTTCTCAAAGCCTGCAATATAACCAAAGTCTCATGTGTTTCATACTGAAGAACATTTACAGAGGAGGGGTAAGACTGTGAGCATGACCCACCCAAACACCTCTGGTTTATAAAGCTTTGACTTCACAAAATGAGATCAAGTCATTGTTGGTTTTGTTGTTTTCATGGGTTATATTAAAACATAGAGTGCCCTGTGTTAATCACCTTAAATTTGTTAGCCAACCATCAATGTTTTACAGTACACAGAGGCTATATATTAATTGATATTAACTTTTTGTGACAGACAGAAAGGAGGAGAAAGTTACAATCTAATACATAGTGACTTTTTTACTATAATACGACACCAGTTTTTTTTCAAATGCCGTTTACAGACAAAGTATGACTTTATGAAGTATCATGTGGGTATCATGTTTCAGCACATCAACACATTTCAATCCTGTCCACTACAGAATGAACGTTGAGATGCAGGAAATCTCATGATGTGTTTTGGGAAGTGGAAAGTAAATCTGATTAGCTGAAAACAATGAGATAAAATGCTATGATCCATAAACAGAGGTGTGCTGTCGTGTTGCCCTAATAATAATAACAGTAAGGTCTAGACCTGACTTTGTAAAGCATCCTGAGTTGACTTTTGTTGTGATTTGGTGCTATACAAATAAAACTGAATTGAACTGAACTGTGTTTCTGATCTGATAGTATTCAGGCCATCAGTTTTTCTGTGGCAGAGTGTGTAGACTATGAGAATGGAAGCCAGCCAGCTCCAAGCTGCAGCTGTTCTGCATTAGGAAAAGAAACCTGAGCCTTTGTTACATCTGGGCAGCTGCTCGCCTCCTTAAAAACATTCATAAACCTTCACCTCGACTTGTTTTAAACACTTCTCAACAGGTTGTTTCTCATGTAGACAGGACAAACAAAATCAGACTTCATTTTAACAACCACAAAACAGCTGCTTTTTTAAAAATTACAACCCACATCATGCTCTGGGGACATTAACCAAGTCTGTGCCACGTAGCTGTTGTACTCATGGCTATAGTGTGAGGATCTTTACACACTCCCATAAAATATTAAGCCCTCATGATTTAAAAAGTTTACTTTAGTTTGTTTTAACAGACAAATGTCTCCATTCCCTGTTTAGCTTTTGTTCACACTTGTAGCCTGTTCCAATGCCAAATATGAGCTGTATTTAGGTTTTCCTGATAAACAATAGAAACAGGAGACACATCATATTGTTGTACTTGAGAGGAGTTTGGGCCACGAATTAGTCCAGCACGCAGCCCTCTCTAAAACTCTAAATGGCTGCAAAAATATAACTTTATATTGCAAAATTAGGAAATGTTCTTATTTGTGACATAATAAACAAATATGACTAGCTTTTAACATGTTTATGTTTGCTGCATTTTGATGCCACCATGTAAAACATGAAGTGGATTAAAAGTTACTGTTGTAGCTTGTTGTTGTTTACCTGGCTGCTGTAGGTGGAGGACTTAATGGCCCCGAAGACCAGTATGCATCCGATGATCTGAGGACACACCACATCAGTTAGCTTGTGCTCTAACAAAAGAAAAGCCCCGGATATGGGGCCTGAAGTGTGCCACTAAAATACTGATTCTTCAAAAAGAAAAAAATGAATCAAAGAGTGGACAAAACAAAACATAGAGTGACACAGAATTAACAGAAAGTGTATATTACTAAATGAAACTTTAAATGTATATGTAATAGTACAATTTAAAAATAACATTAAAAATATTTTTAACTTCTGATCCCTGCAAGATGGTCCTGTCTCCAACATTTCAAACTGAGAAATATTCAAACCCTCTAACTTTATTTTAATTTTTCACTGAGGTTCCCAATGTTCCAGTAATATTACATAAATCAAATTGTGTATAAAATGATCTTTGAAAATCTTGATTTGAATGGGCTGGGAGGAACAACAGTTTTTTATGTATGCAAATACACAAAGATATGACAATAAATTGAATCTGAACCATAAAAATAGCTCATGATACTAAAGGTCAGATACACAGTAAAAACACTGGACAGCTGCAGAAAGGAGCCTGAACATTATATAAACAGTATAAACTAAATTAAAATACAATTTCCAAGCTGGGACTGGAGCCACCTAGGAGGGCACCGAGCAATTACAAGCAGGACATTTGCGAAAAACATTTTTTGATGGAAAACACTGGGCACTGTTGCTATAAGTGGAATTTAAAGGACATTTAAAGGGAAGACGT